ACGGGCTGCAAACCAAAGCACTGCAGGTTCGATTCCCAGTCAGGGCACGTGCCTGGGTTGCAGGCTGTGGCCCCCAGCAACTGCAAATTGATCTGTCTGTCTCTCTTTCTCCCTCCCTTCCCTCTCTAAAAATAAATAAATAAAATCTAAAAAAAAGAATATAATTAAAAAATTAAAAATTATCACAGCTTCTGTTTTAGAGTATCTTTCATTTTAAGGTATTTATTTTAAAAAATGCCAAATCTGGAAATGAAAGGAAAACAAGTTAATTTTTAATTTTTTGAAGTCTTAAGGAGATGATTGGGTTAGAGTTTAACAACTTCCTATATAGTAATTTATGGTTTACAAAGCACCTTCTGTGTGTTACCTCTTTTGATCTGCATGACAGTTCTGAAAATAAGGATAGTACCTCCGTTTTTAAGGGGAGGCTACTAAGATGGGCTCTGTCCAAAGACACACAAGTGTTTAGAGATTATCTCTTACTACAGAACTAAGATTTTATATCCCAGCTTTTTTAGGGGCCCCCTAGAAATACGAGTATATAGAAAGAAAATACTTAAAAATGAATTGAGGGAAAGGGTTATTGTGGAAAGTAGAAGAGGAACAGTTAACTGAAGCTGTGAAGTCTTTTTTGAGTTACAGAGAGATCATGGAATAGTACAAAATTCTCAGTGTTGTGATGGGAAACTTAACAGATAGTAACAGAAAATAACTCTAAGGAAGCATTTCATTGTCCTATTATTATACCACAGAACTGGCCACTGTATATATAACTCCCCCAGATATTTTATTTATTTATTTTTAGAGAGAGAGAAAGAAAGGGAGGAAGAAAGAGGAAGAAAAACATTAAACACCAGACATAACATTGTTTTTCTTTTCCCCTAAATCTCATGGTTTGGATTACTTACCCTGAAATTGTACTTAAGTTGTTTTTTCCATTTAAAAAATAAATTTATCTTAGCATAATGACAGGCTACAGTGAATTGATACAATTTTTAGCCAAAACAATCTTACTGGAGTAAAAATACAACTTCCTATTGAACTTCCTTATTTGGGAAGCCAGCTCTGATGCTTTGGAAAGATGGAAGGATGGAGATTCCTTTAGTCCACAGTTACATTGTGCCATTACAAAACGCCTGTATTTGGAAATCAGATTAATCTAGTTGTTGTATAAGATGGCTGAACAGGCTATGGCAAGAATATAGTTAGTTTCTGCAGTACTGGAGAATGTGAATTCTGTTTTGAATTGGAAGTCTTTTTTTGTTTTCCCCTTAACTAGAAACTATAGGGAATAATTAATGTGCTTGATATTTCCAGTTAGGGTTTACGGAAAGGTAGCATATGTTGCAGTTACTAAGAAAAAATACCTCAGTGATGCTAAAAGTAATTATTGTTTGTATGCTATGAAGACTAACAGTTTCAGGAGAGGTTTGCAAAAGTGAAGCTTTGATTTGGAAATAGATGTACCATTTTTTACTAAGTAACTGTTTCTCAAAATGGTATGTAATCATCATTTAAAAAATATTTTTTAATCCTCACCCAAGGACATTTTTTTCATTTTAGACACAGAGAAAAGGGTGTGAGAGAGAAGCATCTGTGTGAGAGAGGAACATCAATCACTGCCTCCTGCGTGTGCCCAGATGTGGGGGGTCAAACCTGCCACCTAGGCTTGTCCCCTGACCGGAAATCAAACCCTCAACCTTTCAGTTACAGGATAACGCTCCAACTAACTGAGACACAACTAACTGGGCAGGGCTGTAATCATCTTTTTTTTTCTTTTTTCTTTTTTTTTAGATTTTATTTATTTATTTTTTAGAGAGGGAAGGGGGAGAGAGAGAGAGAGAGAGAGACAGAGAGAGAGAGAGACAGAGACATCAGTGTGCGGTGGTTGCTGGGGGTCATGGCCTGCAACCCAGGCATGTGCCCTGACTGGGAATCAAACCTGTGACACTTTGGTTCGCAGCCCACGCTCAGTCCACTGAGCTACACCAGCCAGGTGCTGTAATCATCATTTTAATAAATGAAATTATATTTAAGTGCACTAACATATAGCTTACTATAGAAACCTATTTTTGGCCCTGGCTGGCATAGCTCAGTGGATTGAGTGCGGGCTGGGAACCAAAGTGTCCCAGGTTCGATTCCCAGCCAGGGTACATTCCTGGGTTGCAGGCCATAACCCCCAGCAACCGCACATTGATGTCTCTCTCTCTCTCTCTGTCTGTCTCTCTCTCTCTCTCTGTCTCTCTCTCTCCCTCCCTAAAAATAAATAAATAAAACCTTTAAAAAAAAAAGAAAAAAAAAAGAAACCTATTTTTGGATAGCTCTGTAAATCAGAAAATAGTCATGCAAAATACAAAAATAGTAATTTTATATTCATGATTTTCACATGTGTATTTGAGTTGCTTAAAGTAAGAAATAGATTTAAAGATGTTTTGTCAGGTTCTTGGTCTTTATCAGTTTAATGGCCTTTTGGAAGTAAGTTTTTTTACTTTTTGATGGTTTTTATATTTCCTTTTGCTACATAAGGTTAGCCTTTGAAAACAATGTTAGATATCTTTAAAGGGCAACTTCAGACATTTTTAAGCTTTGACTCCACAAATGTTCTGTTTTTCCCCCCGCTCATGCCAGAAAGTGGTAAGATTATTTTTTCTAATTATAAATAATTCCTGGAATGTAGGGCTTCGTTTTGACCATTACCATATGCCCACTGCCTTCCAACAGTGCCTGATAGGTAGTAGCAACTCAGTAAACATTTATTGTTGAATGAACCTCAGGAAGGGGAAAGGCAGTAGAGGTAAATTAATGTTCTTACGTTGATCACTTTGGAAGCTTCTTCATTTCTAATTTATTTCTACGAAAAGTCATGTGCCTTCCATTTCTGAAGTCAGGTGATTACCAGATTTTGGTGGTTCTTTAATATGTTTATCCCAATTGTTCTATTCCTGGATTTTTGTCTCTAAACCTAGTATATCTCAAAAAAAGGTATTTCTCTACCATCTAATTCTTTGGGCCAGTTTTGTAGATTGGTATTTCCTGAACTGATTTAAAATTGAAACTGATTCATGAGGGAATTGTTCTCAGGAACAGAGTGACTGTAGGCAATCAATGGATTTTTGTATTTGGCCTTATTCTCCAGTTATGAAGTTGTAATACCTTCACATTTTTGCAAGAGACGCATATTTGAACATTGTAGCATTTTTGTCATTGCAGAAGTAAAACTGCCTCTTAAAATACAGAAAGTACAATTCTTGTTGTCAGTGAAACATCACTTAAAGTTTCTCTTCAAATTTTTTTATTGAGGTGTAATTAACATACAATATGTTAGTTTCAGGTACAATATAATTTGATATGTGTCTAAAGTTTTGATTTTACAATATGAATATCAGTTTTTTTCCCTCATCATCTGAATTCACAATTGGTGAATTCCAAATTTGATGTTTCCTTTTTGCCTTTCCCTTCTTTAGTTGGTCCAATCATAGTCATAGTATCTGCTGTATTTTGCCGTGTATAATGGGCACTTTTTTGCCCAAATGTTTTAGGGAGAAATAAGGGTGCGCATTATACACAGGTATAATAATGGGTGCGATGATCCCGTGTATAATGAATGCACACTGAACCGTGGGTGCGTATTATACACGGAAGTGCATTATGCATGGCAAAATACAGTCATTCTTTGGCTGAGGAGGACTTTTTTTTTTTTAAGGAAAGTAGTATTTTGGTTGAAGTTGCCTTCTTTGGAGTGAAATAAACAAAAAGTTCTTAATTTTAAGAAATATTTGCTCCCTAAAAGAAACTGAGAAATAGGGAACCTGCATAGAGTTCAATTTATTTTAAAAAGTTAAGTTTTCTAGAGAGTATCCTATTAGCAAACATTCTGTTACTACCTACCTTTTGGAAATTCATCACTCCAAGTTGTTATTCAGATGTTTCACAGTGGTATTTTGTGTGATAGGATTTATCATTGATCACAAATGAATAAATTAAAGGGATTTTTAAAATATATTTTTTAAAGATTGTATTTATTTATTTTTAGAGAGAGGTGGGGAGGGAGGGAGAAAAGGAAACATCAGTGTGGGAGGGATATATCCATTGGTTGCCTCTTGCACACCCCCATCTGGGGGCCTGGTCTGTATCCCGAGTGTGAGCCCTGACTGGAAATCGAACCAGAGACCACTTGGTTCACAGGCTGTCACCCAGTCCACTGAGCCACAGCAGCCAGGGTGGGAATATGTTTTGTAATGTTACTTGCAGATTGATTTTAAAGCCAAACTGTTCATTTTTTATCGGTTATCTATGAATGGAGTAACTTAATTGTGACAGGCCTTTTGATGCCACTTTCTCTGGAGTTCCTGGTCTGGTTCAAAGCTTGGCTTTGTTATGTGCAGGCCTTGAAAGGCGGCTTCGTCAAAAGACAACAAGGTGCTAAGGAAAGCTGATTCAAGAGTTGTATCCGTTCGGAACAGAACTCAAATGCACATAGTTTTCCAGGCACTGAAGATCTGTGGTTATTTTCTAGACCTTTTACTTATTATATATATATGTGTATATATATATATATATATTTAAGAAGGTCTTGATGACTCCCCTCCTGCCCCTCAAATCCTCTTAGAGTTCTTTCAATGAAGCAAATGATTTGATCACTGTCCAGTCGATCTGTCTTTGATGTTATTTCTTTAAGGAAAAGTCCCACCTTGGGCCCCGAATACTGATAGGAAGCTAGAGCTAGTTCTCTCACTTTGAACTAATGCCTTCTCCCATCCCCTGCATTATTAAAGAGGGCGTTGTTTATATTCTCAAGTAGCAGTACAAAAACCTCACACCCTGGTCCAACTCGTATGAAAATAACTGCTGTAGCACCAAGTGCCCTTCCTCTGTCCCCAGCTGAAATTGGGGGAGGGACAAAGTCCAATTGTTACTTTACCCAATCCTGTCTGCCTGCTAGAAGGCCTGTTCCCTGCCCTGATGGTTTCTGCCTAACAGATGGTGTTTCTTTTTTACAGCATTATGACCCTGGACTTGTTGTGGTGATGGTAAACTTAGCAGTGGTAATTTTTTATTTTCAGACTGAATTACTCCTTTTGTCATCAGTGCACCAATATGTTAGGCTTACTTTCTCTGTTGTAGCCTTCATCCTTCTGCTTGGTCTTTTTTCATTTTCCTTTCCTTTCCTTATGCAACTTGTCTGATCCTCGTTCATTAAAGGGTAATGTTAAGGAGAGATGTATCTGTTTGTGTTAGAACTACAAAAAAAAATCAGTTAAAACATTAAATTCTAATACTGTCAAAAACTTGATTTCCCCACAATGTAATGGGCACTAGCACTTGCTACTGCAATTTTTAAATAAATTAAAACAAACTTTGACTGCCTTAGAAGGCAAAAGTACTAATGCAGAGTTTGTAAACAGGGGTTTACAGAGGTAATGAATTTGTACCAAAACTTCCTTAATTTTTGCATAACAAATTCTGATAGACTAAAAAAAAGATACCAAAACAACAAAAAAAGTAAATTCCTTTGTCATTATTTTTCAATTCTTTCATTGGACCATTTGTTTTTACCAGTAAATCCCTGATTGAGACGTTATGAAAGTGATATTGCACCTAGGAAGTCATTTTTATAACCTGTCTTAATTTGGTCCTTTTGCTAAAGATTGCAGTCACTGCTTATTTATTATACCATTGGGCATAAGATAGGAATGCATTTTCATTTCGTTTAACTGGCAGTCTTTGATAGTACCTGAGAGAAGGCTGTATTTTTTTTTCTGGCATGAGATGTTCTTTATTTACTTAAAGTTTTTTTCACTATAATAATTATTCCTAATTATATCTTTACTTATTGCTTATAAAGTAGTGGGATATTGGTGATAAGTAAACTTCTGGATTAGTTTTTCATTATTTTTTAAAGATGAAAAGTAATCCCACAAATACAGAGCAACTACATACGAGTGGTTGCCAGTCACGTTGAAAAGTTTCTTCTTTTTTCTCCAGGACCAAACCTAGTCATGATCATGGCATTTGTTGTTACTGTTTTTAATTTGGTTTTGGTGATACCTCAGATTTATCCTGACAAAGCTCAACTTTTAGCCCAAAGGTATAATATATATGTGTGTATAACAAAAACAAAAACAAAACAAACAAAAAACAATTGTTTACACCAGCCTGAGTGAAGTGATGAGGGAAGTAAACATTGTGTTTTTTCACTAAAGGTGTACATCGGATAAGGTAAGTCCTCTTACCAGTGGGCTTACATCACAATAAACAGCGCAAGTTGTGATGTAAAACAGCTGTGGTAGTAAAGTGCTTGTCTGCCCCATTTTGCTTTGTTTGGCTGGTTATGAGTGGATTAAATATACATTTTTTAAAATCTCCAGCATAGATTGATTAGTTTAAAGTCAATTTTCTTCGCAACTAGTCCTTTTCACAGCTTACCGATGACTACAGTCAGTGTTAAATCCACTCTGGAAAATGGGACCTCAGAGCACCAGTTCAAAAGAAACACCATCCTTGGTTTCTAAGGGCAACTAACTGTTGCTTTTTATTTAAGTTTTTCATAGCCCTGCTTAACTGTAAAGCATCTTTTGAAAACAAAATAATATTGAGCATACTGAGTTGTAGTTAGAGTTTTCTTGTATCATGTTTGAAACTATGCTTTTCAGATTTAAGTATGTCAGATGAGATGTTTATTCCCCATTTTAAAAGAGTGTATGGGAGGATGTCAGTGGACAGTAAGTGAAGTAATTTCTTGATGAAAAGTTATTTTAAACCTTCTGGTGCCATAGCTTAGAAATGCTTTGCATTACTTATTTAATTTTGCCATGTAACCTGGAATTATCCTCTCTGGAAAGACAGTCAAGGTGGATAGTTGGGCTTAACTGGGCGAGGTAGGCTTGGCTGTAAGCTGTGAGAATGGCTTGTGTTTGGTTCACTGTAGCTTTCTGGTCTCTGCACTCCAAGGCAAGATCTCTAACCACCCAAACCTAATGTGTAAAGTGAGCCGGCAGCGTAGGTTTGCATCTTACCCTGATTGTGTGTTCCTGTTACAGGGAGAACTGACCCCATTCCGATTGTTGTCAAGTATGACGTCATGGGCATGGGTCGCATGGAAATGGAGGTAAATTGATTTCATCAGCTCACTTGTTTTATGGGGTATTTAAAATAGATATTAACTCAAACTCAGATGCCAGTGCAAGAATATATTGATTAGATAGAATATAGTTTTAATATCTTCTTTGGAAATTTAAAAATATATTTTACATTTTTATTTAGTGCTGCCTTTGAGGCAGGTAGATGGCAAATAATAACTGTTTCAACCGAGGTGTAAAGAAATGGAGTGGTTTGCCCAAGGTTATGCCATGAGGTAAGATAAGGCTTAAACCCAGACCCTATTTGTTGCAGTAGGCAGTGTTGCCCAACTCTTAAAACATTCGTTGTGGTAGAAGCTTTATGCCTATAGAGATGTGCACAGCTGTCATCAGTGTTATCTTCTTTTCACTGCCTAAAGTGTTTTCTCCATTTACTCCTAATTCTTTGGCATTGAACATTGAATTAAAGTCTGTCATCATCAGAAAATGTGCCTGTTGGGAACCACCAGTGTGAAAAGATTAATGAACTTTTCTGCGTGCTATTTTCTCTGTGGGGTGACAATAAGGCAAGAGGTTGCTGAGCAGATACAGGGTTTTATTTTCATACAGGACTAGTTATGCAAGTGACTTTTAAAATAGCTAATTGGGAGTACTTTAGGAATTAAGATTAATTATATCTATTTTTGTTAAGCTCGATTATGCTGAAGATGCTACCGAACGGCGCCGTGTCCTAGAAGTGGAAAAAGAAGACACGGAGGAGTTGAGACAGAAGTACAAGGTACTGAAATGAAGCCTTTCTTTGTGTAGGGGGTGCTCACACTGAGATATTTCCGATGAAAAGGATCTCTGTTAACAGCATTTGTTTAACGTTTGGTTGTAATTAGTAGTAGATCTCGAGCTTCTGAACTTTCTTATTTATTGCCTCTGAAAAAACTACAGACATAATAATACCCACTTTAGCCCTGGCTGGTGTGGTTTAGTGGGTTGAGTTCCAGCCTGCAAACCAAGGGGTCACTGGTTCGATTCCTAGTCAGGGCACATGCCTGGGTTGCAGACCAGGTCCCCAGTAGGGTGTATTTGAGAAGCAACCACACATTGATGTTTCTCTTCCTTTTTCTCTCTCCCTTCTCCTCTCTCTAAAAATAAATAAATAAAATCTTTTTTTTAAAAGAGTGAGAGATTAAAGGGGGAAAATATGATTATCTCAATAGATGAAAAAAATAAAAGCATTATATGAAACTCAGCACTCATTCATGATGAATAGTCTTATCCAACCTGATAAAGAAAGGACTTTCCTTAACCAGATTGAAATGCCTTTAAAAACCATGTAGAAGACATCATACTTAATATTAAAAAGTTGAGCCCCGGCTGGTGTGGCTCAGTGATTGAGTGCCAGCCTGTGAATCAAAGGGTCACCAGTTTGATTCCGTCAGGGCACATGCCTGGGTTGCTGGCCAGGTCCCCAGTTTGGGACGTGCGAGAGGCAACCACACATTGATGTTTCTCTACCTCTGTTTTCCTCTCTTCTCCCCTCTCTAAAAACTAAAGTAAATAAAATCTGCTAAAAAAAATTTTTTTTTAAGTTGAAAGCTCTGGTTTTGAGATGAAGAGACATAACAAGGATGCCTGCTGTCACTGTTTCTATTAAATGTTGTGCTGGAGGTCCTAAGCATGGTAAGGTGTACAGACAGAAACAAACAAATAAAGATTATATAAGAGGTGAAAGGAAGAGACAAAAGTGTTTTTGTTTGTAGGTATGAGTATATAAAAAGACATCTAAAACAATATACAGATAAATTAAACAACAGTTTAGCAGGATGCTAGATGCAAAATAATAAATTTCAGTTTATGTGTCTGTAGAGCAACGAGTTACAAAATGAAGATTACATGATGTATAAGACTTCAGAAACACTGAGAGATATTAAAGAATAATGAATAAAAAGAGATTTTTAATAATTTGTTCATGAATTAGAAGACTTAATATTATGAAGAAATCTGTTTTCCCTGAAATTTTCTATATGTTTAATGCAGTCAAGTCAAAATCCCAACAGGATTTTGTATGGAATTTGACAAGCTTATTTCAAAATTTATTTGGAAGTATAAAGGGCCAGGCATAGTCAAAGCAGTCTTAGAGCGTGAGAGAGAAAGATTTGGCCTTACCGGCTGTCAGAGCCTGTTATGGGGCTGTGGTGAGTAAGATAATGTGGTAATGTGGAAATTTGCCATGTCCAATAAAAATAACCACCAAAATCTTCAAATCTGGGCCATAAGAGGGGAATTGGTATCAGTAAGACATACGAGTTTGGGAAGTGTCTGCGTACTGATGATTTTAAAGTTGCAGGAATGGATTCAATTGGCCAGGGAGAAAGGAAAAATACAGTATTAGAAGCAAATTTAATGTATTTAAAGAAATAAAAAGGATTATGAGTAAAGGGCAAGAGGCCATATAAAACCTCAATGAGAGGCTTTAATAGCAGGTTATACAAGGCAGAATATTAAATTATAATACAACTGAAGAAATATCCACAATGCTGCAAAAAGTGGAGGCGGGGAGCAAGAAAGAAATGGAAAATATGTGAGAACGGTGAAGAGATAGATAATGAAGAATAAGCAGAGTTCCAGAAAGAGAGAAAAAGAATAGGGCAGAGGCAGTGTTCAAAGGGAAGATTCCAGAATGGATGGAAGGTGCAACTCACAGATTCAGGGAGCCTAATGAATCTCAAGCAAGATTTAAAAAAAAAAATCTACGCATAGATACATTCTGGTAAAACCATAAACTGTCAAAGTAAAAAGACTTTTAGTGGGCTCAAATGGAATCTTGAATGTGCTCAGAGCAAACAACTATCAACCTAGAATTGTACATTCAGCAAAAATATCTTAAGAGTAAAGATAAAAATGGGTCGATTTTTACATAAAAACATTTGTTTGCCTCTAAAAGACTCCCAAAAGGAATTTCTACGAGGCTTCTGGCCAAGATGGTGGTGGTGTAGGTAAACACAGTTCCCCCTCCTCACACAACCACGTCCAAATTACAACTAAACTATAGAACAGTCATTCAGAACCATGAGAAATTGAGCTTAATGGAAGTCCTACAACCGTGGAATTAAAGAATGACCCACATTGAGACTGGTAGGAGGGAAGGAGACATAGAGTGGGCTGGCCCCACACCCATGAGGCAGGTAGAAATCAGTAGGGGTTTATCAGGAGCAAGGGGTCCCAGCCCAGAGTTCCAGTGCCAGGCAGTTACATCTCCACAACTTTTGGCTGTAAAAATCAGCAGGGATTGAAGCTCTGGACAACAGAAACTGCTGGAGTCCCAGCAGCCCCTTTAAGGGCCTGTGCACAGACTTACTCGGACTCACTCCCTCTGAGCTCCAGCACCAGGGCAGCAGATTGAAAGGCATCAGAGACCGATGGAAAGGAACTGAATTGTCCTGTATCAGGGTGAGGGGCGTGTGGGGGGGCGGCTTCTCCAGACGGAAGGGCTGGCAGAGGCCATTGTTCCTTTTTGCGCCCTCGCCACACAGAGCCTGCAGGCGGGCATCACACTCCCATCAGCCTGGCTCACATTGTTTGCCCCACTCTAGTGATTCCCTGAAGCCCTTCCCCGCCCAATTTTCAGGCCTGCCCAAGCTGTTTCAGTGGCTTTTCCATACAAACGGCTTGTCCTGACCCATGCTTCAGTTTTCCTAAATTCTCAAACAAGCAGCACCTGGCTTCAGCAAGCCCCATACCACTCACTAAGGTGCCCTGGACCCAGCACAAGTAGCAGCCATTTGCAGATCACTTTGTAGTTTACACTTTATGGTCCTGGACAGAACACAGGTGGTTGCTGACCTTGGGTATACCAAACAGTAATCAAAGTTCAACTACAACAAGAGGGGGTACATAGCCCACATGGTGGGTGCTTCTCGAGTACCCAGTTTGGACAATAGAGAAGGCTATGCCACTGGACCCTATAGGACAGCTGCTACATTAGGCCATCCTCTCAAGCCTGAGGGACATAGCAGCTCTACCTAATACATAGAAACAAACTCAGGGAGGCTGTTAAAATGAGGAGACAAAGAAATGTGGCCCAAATGAAAGAACAGAACAAAACTCCAGAAAAAGAACGAAAAGAAATGGAGACAAGCAATCTGCTAGATGCAGAGTTCAAAACTCTGCAATGTTCAAAAGATGCAATGTTCAAAACACTGGTTATAAGAATGTTCAAACTTAGTGAGGAAGATGCAATGTTCAAAACACTGGTTATAAGAATGTTCAAGAAACTTAGGACTTCAACAGCATAAAAGAGATTCAGTCAGGATCGAAGGGTACACTAATTGAAATAAAGAACAATTTACATGGTACCAACAGTAGAGTGGATAAAGCTGAGATTCAAAACAGCAATTTAGAATATAAGGAAGCAAAAAACAACCAATCAGAACAGCAAGAAGAAAAAAAGAATCCAGAAAAATGAGGACAGTGTAAGGTGCCTCTGGGACAACTTTAAGCGTACCAACAATTACTTCATGAGGGTTCCAGAAGGAGAAGAGAAAGAGCAAGAAATTGGAAACCTATTTGGGAAAAAAACAAACAAACCAGAAAACTTCCCTAACCTGGTGAGGGAAATAGACATACAAGCGCAGGAACTGCAGTCTCCTAACCAGGACGATCCCAAAGAGGCCCACTCCAAGACACATCATAATCAAAATGCCAAGGGTTAAATACAATGAGAGAATCTTAAAAGCAGCAAGAGAAAAGAAATTAGTTACCTACAGAGGAGTTCTCATAAATAAGACTGTCAGCTGATTTCTCAAAAGAAACTTTGCAGGCTAAAGGAGACTGGCAAGAAATATTCAAAGTGATGAAAAGCAAGGACCTACAACCATGATTACTCTACCCAGCAAAGCTATCATTTAGAAATGAAGGACAGATAAAAAGTTTCCCAGACAAGAAAAAGCTCAAGTCGATCACCACCAAACCAGTATTATTTGAAGTGTTAAAGGGACTTATTTAAGAAAAAGATCAAAACTATGAACAATAAAATGATAATAAATACATATCTATCAACTATTGAGTCTACAAAACAAAATAAACAAGGAGAACAGAAACAGAATGATAGATACAAAATGTTTTGGTGGTTGCCCGATGCGGGGGATGAGGGAGAAAGTGGGAGGGATTAAGGAGTACACGTTGGTGGTTACAGAATAGTCGTGGGCATGGAAAGGACAGCATAGGGAATAGAGTAGCCCAAGAACATATATGCATGACCCATGGTCGTGGACAACATTGTGGGGATTGCCTGAGGGATTATGGAGGAGGGGACAGAGGGAGAAAAATGGGGACAACTGTAATAACATAAACAATAAAAGACGATTAAATTTTTTTTAATTTTTTAGAAAAGTACTTTAGGAAAAAGAAATGTGATTTCCATTGAAAGGCCTGAGATGCAGTGAGGAATCTCTCTTTTTTTAATCCTCAGTCCTTACCTGAGGGTATGTTTATTGAGACTAGAGAGAGGAGAATGGAGAAGAGGAGAAAGAGACATCAGTGTGAAAAACATTGATCAGTTGCCTCCCGTATATGCCTCAACTGGGGATTGAACCCACAACCTTTTGGTGCCCGGGACAATGTTCCAACTGACTGAGCCACCTGGCCAGGCTAAGGAATCTCTTATAATCAAAATTTAATTAGGTTGTGTGTGTGTTTTGATTTTTGGGGGGGAAGAGTAAATCTTCTAAATCTGTAGAAATACTATCAGAAAAATTTTCTTGCAGAATTAAGTAAAAACCAAGATAGAATTAAGATACGCTTCTACAGTCACCATTGCTAGAAGACGGGTTCTGCTTGGTGCCTGCTACTCCATACTGCTCACTTTGGGGTCAATGTCCAGTGTAGATGCCTCGGGCCGGAAGAGGACAGATCACATGCCTGCGTCCTAGTTGTAAGAGAGGTTGGGAAAGTGAGCTTTCGGATTTCTATCTTGGGGGGAAACCAGCACTGATGAGGAAGAATACCAACAAGTTGCTTAACAGCCAGACAACATGAAACGGCCCAGGATATTTAGAGGAAATGATCATAATGATTGAATATAGCAAAAATAATGATGTGCTATATATTCACTTTTTAGTTTTAATAAATTCATCTGAAATAGTCCTTTACTGGCATTCTACAAAATACAGCAACCATTTGTTGCTGACAAAGGAGCTCATGTGCAAAATGGTAAGAGAGATGGTAGGTGCTAAAGCTGCTTTGAAAGTGTCCCAAAAGTTATAATACTGAGGGGAAGAAAGGCCAATTTAAGAAGCCTTTGATATGAGACTTCTCTTCAGGTATTTTAACTAAACAGAGCTGCTCGTTGTGAGAACGGTGCAGCTACGCTGCTGTAAAGGACTGGCAGTGTGCAAATCATTCATCATGTCTTTCCCCTTCTCCTTCTGCTCTGCTTGCTTCAGGTGAATATACTGAGCTTGTTTTAAGATGTATTTTGATGTCTAGTTTTTAAGTGGGACTGCTGAGGCATACTGGACCATCTCTTGGTTCAGCCCTACAGTGTTGTGCCAGACCCTCATTAAAACCGGTGAATAACCCACATATATCTGTGTTGGCGGTTTGAAATTAGCAGTGGAGCTTACTCAGAGAGTAATCTCAAGTAACTCCGTAACTGGCCTCAATAATGTCTAAAAGTTGAATATAATGTTAGTCCAGCTTTCTCTGGGTATTTGCCTGGCATGTCTTTTTCTGTCTTTATCTCTTTAACTTTGAACTTTCTGAGCCCTCATGTTTTAGGGGGATCGCTTGCAATCAGCAAGTAGTTGGACTTTTTTTTTTTTTTTTGTCTTGTTAAGATTTTATTTTTAGAGAGGAGAAGGGAGGGAGAAAGAAGGGGAGAAAAAATCTAGAACTATTGGTGATAAAATTTTTTTGTATGGAAGTGCCTTCATTTCATCGTTTGTGAAAAATACTTTTATTTGGTATACAAATGAAAATGTATGTTTTAGCACACCGAAGCACACTGTCCTCCACCTTCTGTTGTTGCTTTTCAGTCTGCTCTCGGTCTGATTCTGGGTGATTTTTTTTTCTGGGTAGTTTTATGATTTCACTGTCTTTGGTACCTTCTAGTTTCACTAAAGGGTGTCTAGGTGCGTATTTTTATTTAACCTCTCTTCAGGTAAGACTACTTTTTTACAACATTCACTTAAAATTCTACCCAGTTCATTTTTTGTTTTTATTTTGTGGTTCCTTGCAGGATTATGTTGATAAAGAGAAGGCAATTGCCAAAGCACTGGAAGACCTCAGAGCCAACTTTTACTGCGAACTCTGCGATAAGCAGTATCAGAAACATCAGGAATTTGACAACCATATCAACTCCTATGATCACGCGCACAAGCAGGTGAGGAATAGTTATTTGCTAACAAACTAAAAGATACCTTACTTGTTGTTATAACTATTGAATTTTGAGTGGATCCAAAAAACTCGATGATTTTGGTTTCTTGTATCTGAAGGTTTTTATATGAAGTCATCTATCTGACTTACTTGACTTTTTTTCAGTGACAGAAGTCCTGCCATAGACCAACCCCCCTTGCCTGCCCTTCCAGCATTTTATGTAGAGTGGAGAATTGTGAGCTTCATAAATCTTGCATAAAATTTTGGTTTGAGTGGTTTCTCAATTTGTATTTGATTTGGTAATTCAACTGAGGATCACCAGGAACTTTGTTTTTCTTTCTCCCCTTTCTGAACATGTTAAACTTGAGTTGTCCCAGACTGGCCATCCCATCTTCTGTATAGAAGAATTCATGCTTTATTAGCTGCTCTTTCCTACCAGTAAGTCACTTTGTTACACCCTTGGAAGGTAGATAAATCTTGAGAAGGAAAATAAAATGATATGCTATCTTAACTTTAACAAAAAAACTCTGATGCCAAATGTTGAAGAGCTTGCTGTAAAATGAATTACACATTCTTCACAGTCTTTTTTTTTTTCCTTCATTAATTTAGGGGGTGAGGGGGTTGTACCTTAACTAGTTACTGGCATAGCGAAGGCAACAAAGACTGAGGGATTTTTAAAGGAGGAAATTAATCTTTAAATCTGTTGCAGAGTTCTGGCTCATTAAAGAATTTTGAGCCATTTGATATTGGGTGACTTCAGCAGACTTAACAAATACACCCAAAAAAGGGTATTTGTTAAACTTGTAAGATCTGTGGGCATTGCTTGGAATGCTCTCTTAAGCTGGTCCCGTTAAACCAACATTTTTTTAACCTTCGCTTAGCTTTATTTTTCAACCAGTGAAAGATTTCAGAGCGTTGGAAAAAGGAAGGCTTTGACTAAGCTTTACTTTTACTACCACAGAGGTCATTTTTAAGCTGCCTGTAGTAGTATACTTTATACAATAATCTCTTCCGAGTTCATCCACACCTAACCAATTTAAGATTCTTTCACTTCTTGAGTTTTATTTAAGACAGCTTTTCAACTTCTTGTACATTATTTTAATATAAGGTCAGTTCTGCCTGATTTGAAAAAGAGAAATTGAGAGATCATATATATCAGGGGAATCAAACTCACTTTCACCCTGGGCCATATAAGCCTCGAGGTTGTCTTCAAAGGGCTGAATGTAATTTTGGGACTGTGTAAATGTACCTGCTCCTTAACAGTTAAGCGAGAGCTCGGCACTGCCGCTGGGTAGCAACAAGGTGGAGGGCCGGACTTGGCCCGCAGGCCTTGTGTCTGCCGCCTGTGATGTATGTGGACAAGACATATTGGCAGTTACCTTACCCTTCTGAGAACCATCTGCCGAGAAAGAATAATGCAACAATGAATAGATGAATATACTTATTCAGTAACTTTTCTAGCTTTTCAGTGTGTATATAATTCAGATTTTCAGGTTAATTTTTTATGGAATTAACAAAGACATTTTACATCTAAGTATATACTCAACTTTTTGGGTTCTTGAAAATTTCTCCAGTTAAGCTCTGTGATTAGTTTAAGAGTCCAGAAGAAACTTTATGGACCAAAAGGACATTTAGAAAGGTTTTATTTTTAGTTGATGAGAAGTCTCTTGAGTAAAGTTTTAATTATAAAAGAATAAACCAGGAAAAATGTAATTCAAATTTGAATGTTTGTACACTTGCTTTTTAAGGTGGGAAAAAGTCTAAGCAAAACAGATTCACAATTAAATACAGAACTAATAAAATTCACATTGACAACATTAATGTGATGGAAGACAATGTTTTAGTGATGTTTCTTTCAACTTGAGAGAGGTAGAAATTGTTACAGCTCTGGTTCATTTGAATTTGATATGTTTGTTCTCCTGTGCACTTCGATTTGACCCGATTCTCTCACCACTTTTCCCATTGAGGTGGTCCTCTGGGGAGATGTTGTCCCCCAGGGGATACTTGACAATGTCTGGAGACATTTTTGATTATCACAGCTCCAGGGGGATAGAGCTACTGGCATCTAGTGCGCGGAGGCCAAGGGCGCTGTTGAACAGTTTTCAGTGCACGGAAAGCTCCTTGCAGGCACGTTGCTCGGCCCAAATGTCAGTCAGTAGTGCTGAGGCTGAGAAAGCCTGTACTTTTAGGACAACTGCAAACTTTCACATACAGATGATACTGCAATATCATTTAGTCTTTGCTTGGTACAAACAAATCACTGTCATTTTAACTCCCCAGTTATGTTGTAAACATTTACAGTGTTAATCTAGATGATCTTAAATATTCATTTTTTTTTTTAGATTATCATGAAAATACAAAATTAGGGTTTCCTATAGAGGATTCATGGACTACCTTACTCATTAACAGAAAACATATCTGTGATCCCTGATCTGGGAAAAGAATTTTTAGCTGGTATAATTAACGCTTGCCAATGCTCATTAGCTTATTTTTCCACCTTGATCAAAAGCACCTCTTAACTATTAGAAACCAGTGTAGTATGAATTTGTTACTTTGTTTTGGGAGACATATTTTTAATTTGGTTTCCATATAGGCTTTTTCATCTTTCTTTATACTGTTCTCTAATGCAAATGGTAGAATCTTGAGACAGAATACTATAAATATATAAACAGAAAAATGCACAACACTAACTTTTTGTATAGTTACACTCTTCCCTTCACTTAGAATTTCTGAAGAGCCTTTAATTGACCATGATACAACATAGCTAAGTAACCCCTAAGAGGAGGTAGGTCCCATTTTTTATTCCTCTTTGATGGACATGAACTTACACCATACAGATGGACCTACCATTTTCCACATTTATGCTCTAAAATCATAAAGCCACCCTGTCTTGTCTTCCAGGAAGGCACACAGGATTATTATGAATCTGAGATAATAGGTAAGTACATTCAACCCTGTTAGTAATCCCTAGTTTGCATCTCCCATCAAATTTTCACTATTAAAATTTTTCAGAAAAATAATTTATTAAGTTTGGTAAACTACTAGTACAGCAGGATTCTGAACGTGCACTTATCTTCATTAAACACAAATAATCTCTCAGGGCCTATGGAGTCACCCTCGTTTATGGTGATTTTTTCCCCCTCACTATCCACTAGTTTTTCCTCAAATTTCCTAAGATATTTTGTGAAGCAAGTTATTAATACACAAATATCAAGACCCAGTTTGATCTTCAAAAATGAAAAAGCTCGTTAGACATTTTGACTTTTTTCAGCAGTTTAACCCTTGTTTTAAAGTAATCGTTTCAGCCCTGGCTGCTGTGGCTCAACAGATTGAGTGTGGGCCTGCTAATCAAAGGGTCACCAGTTTGATTCCCAGTCAGGGCACGTGCCTGGGTTGTGGGCCAGATCCCAGTAGGGGCCACATGAGAAGCAACCATACATTGATGTTTCTCTCCCTCTCTTTCTCCCTCCCCTCCCCTCTCCAAAGTAAATAAATAAAATATATTTTTTTAAGTAATCATTTCAATACATTTTGAGATCTTCAAATGCATGCCTTATCATTCCTCAAGAGATGACCCAGTGATTCCTTTTTACATTGTAAGTTGGTTCTGAGATGCCTGAGTGCTCAGTAAGTGTTAGTGTCCATCTTCTACCACTGTTGGCTTAGTTGTAAGTTCAAGTTGACTTTGAAACTAAATATTTTTCCATTGCTACCTCCCTGTTTCTTTATTTTTGCATATCTTTTAAAATATGTCTGCTGCCCTGGCCAGGTGGCTCAGTTGGTTGGAGCAACGTCCTATGCACCAAAGGGTTGTGGGTTCAATCCCTGGTCAGGACGCATACACGAGGTAACTGATTGATGTTTCTCACATTGGTGTTTATCTCCCTCTCTCCCCTCCCCTCTCTCTAAAACCAATGAACATATCCTTGGGTGAGGATGTTTTTTAAAGTTCTTTTTTTTAAGCCTGCATACTAATTGATATGACAGTGGAAACCATTTATTTATTTATTTATTTATTTAATTTTAGCTTTGCAGATGTCCTAAATTTTAAACTTCAGAAAACATTTTTTTCCCCAGAGGTAAATTTTTAGCAGCCCAGTAACAGTCAGTGCCTTATTTTTGTTGTTGTTTTGTTTTTCTTTCTTGGTGCCTTTTCTTTCTTGGTGCCTTGTTACCTACTCGGGATTTTTCTAATCTTACTCTCTTTTATTTATGCCACTAGGGGCCTCCTCACCCACCAGCCTCTAGTACATAAACCAGATTGTCCCACAGCTCTTTTTTGTGGCCTTTGTGATGTTAGATTTTTCCCCTTTAATTTCCATTCCCAGTTTTTAAAAATGAGATTTTATGTAATTCAGGCTGTGGCTCATCTTGAAAAATTAAAATATCTGAACATTAGTAACAGGTGGCTAGAGGTGAATAGTTGCCATCTCTTAAAAGGCATGCACATGCGCTCACTCTCCACTTAGCTGCTGTTTCCACTTCGCCCTTTCTCTCGCGTCAGCCTGTGTTGGCTCATCACGTCGCCTGCCGACAGAAACTCCTCTGAACCTTTGAGTTTGGGACCCAGTCCTAGCCCTTCCCTCCTCTCCGCACAGGCTCCCACAGGTTCTGATTGATCCTGGGGAAGTAGCACGCTGAAAAGTTGCCTTATTGGGTCCAGCTTCCTTGTAGTTTCAGGACCATCTGTGGTAGTCAGATCCAGTTATCAAAATCTGGTATCGTAAAGCAGCTTTGAGAAATTTCTTTAACTTGTGGAATCAATATCGTAATCAGAGGAAAGAATGTTTTCAGACTGCCCCTTCTTTCTGCAGATGGATTCAGTATGAAAACCTCTGGCTTCTTTACGTTTTTAGAAAAGACTGAAGACTCACTTAATACCTAGGTTTGTTTTAGCTGTAAAAGCAATGGTTTCCTGAGCTTTAAATAGCTGAACTAAAACAGATTAAACCTGTAGCAACCATCAGTAACTTGTCTATCCTAAATTGTACAGAATAGACTCTATTA